GGACCGCGAGATCGTGACCTGGCTGAAGTCGGACGCTTAACCGACTGCGCCACCCAGGCGCCCCGAAATGAAATTCTTTAATAGCATTTTATTTTCTGAATAATGTCAGAAGCTGAACCGTTGAGTTAAGAATGATGGTAGGAAAAAAAAAATCTCTGGACTCTCCTTGCTCAAGGGGAGCCGTACATTTTGTCTAGAGGTAGATTCATTTGCTGTCCTCAGGCAAACCCCTGGTTCTCTAGTGACCATTGGATACAGTTGCATAGATACAATGCGATCATGAAAGGTCTCTTTCTCAGCACATTGGCTCACATTTTGCAAACAGCTGGTAAAAATTGAGTGCTTGGAGAAGATTAGATTTCTTTCCAGGCACTAAAGGTTCTTCTTCTTCTTTTTTTTGTTTTTTTTTTTTTTTTTTTTTTTTTTGATGCATGCCTGTAGCCTTAGGATACGCAAAGGGAGTCAACATGTCCTTTTTTTTTTTTAGTGCTTCAAATCAGAAGCACGTGCTTCACTTACGAGGAAACTGGCAAGCAATAAGACCTATTTCATCAGCCTTGTCCAACTGCCCAAGAGAAAGAGTACTTTGAAGTCCATTTATCTGAGAATTCCACATGTTTGCCAACAACTCCATGTCTGATGATTCCTGTCGTGATTCACTTTGAAATGGGCAAGTCCACCTTCAGAAAATATATCAGTCAGACGTATTTGGTTATTGAAGTCTTTTGCCTTTGGCTGGCCACCGAACCCCTCTTTCCCTGAACCCCTCTTTCTCCTCTGTAACCTGTTTCTTCAGAGCAGGGCAGTGGTTGATGGCTTTAACAATAAAAGTCTGAACCTGCTAAGAATTTGACGAGCTGTCCTTTCTGAGCTATGATGTCCTGTATGCTGATGCCTTTTCTTGGTTAAGCTTGCTTTTGAGCAGACCTGAGACAAGAGCTTTGCTTCAGGCAGGTTCTTTGAAGGTAATTCCAGGAGAGGGGAGAGTCGGTGAGGGGGGCAGGGGGGGAAGGCGAATATGAGTGGAGACTGTCTCTCTGTCAGGACCTGCAGGAAGCATGCAGAAGCTTCTTACAGCCCTCGAGCTGTTGCATTGCTCGTGGAGCATTTCTCCTCTGGCTTCTGTGGCCCGTGGGTTGTAGGCTACCCAGGGCTCTCCACTGCCTTATACTCTGGGCCATGAGTAGAGTGGGATAGTGTAGGAACACGGAAAAGTGTAGCACAAGTTGGAGGGGCTGTCACAGTTCACACAGAGCTGTCCCCTACAGCTTGGCTTCAATTAGAGTGGATGGATGGGATGGACGTGGTCACCAGAGGTGAGCAGCTGGCTTTGTAGCCAGACCATCTCACATCAGACCTTTAGCTCCATCACTGATTAGCCATGAAATTTTGCTCAAAAAACCAAACATCAGTTTCCTCGTGTGATATTATCATTTTAATAGGGATAATAGTCCTTTACCTCATGGAGTATTGTGCTCAGTAAAAGTTAGATATGGTTATCCAGCCACAGTCTCCTAGTCCAAATTGTGTCCAGAGCTCAAGCACAACTTCTCTGTGCTTCCATAATTCTCCAGGAAAACGTGGAGCCTTGTGTCAGCATATAAAGTACGCCTTCTCTCTCCTGCCACATACATCAGGGTCTTGCGGATTAGCGCCCCTCCGAGAACTGCCACACGGACTCCCTTCTCCTTTGACATCTCTCTGCTTCTCTGCCTTCCTGACCTGTCCGTCCTCTGGGTGCAGAGGCCCTCATTGTGCCTTCCTGTTTCTGGCTGGAACCCTGTGGGGCTGGTGTCATATTGTGCTTCCTTTAAAAAAAAAAAAAAATTCATTGCATCTTACTGTATTTTCTTGTAAGTGCTAATATAAACATTTTAATGCTGCCAGTACTTAGATTAATGTTGACACTTTGACCCTCTAATACGGATAAGCTGAAGTGGTTTGGCTAATGTCAGTGTTCAGGGGCCTAAACTTTCTAAATTGCCAACAACCACTGCAGAACTTACTTACTGCTGGAAAATATGTCTATCTTCTGGCAAAAAGGGGTGCTTTTCTTTCTCAGATCATAAGAATTATGTGAAATGAAGCTGTTGTGTTGTGGCGTTTGTTTGTTTGTTTGTTTGTTTGTTTTACCTTGGCTGCCAGGATGCTCTGAACTAAATTGTATGTTTCTATATAATGATTGTACTTCATTGCTGTTTTCTGATATATCCATTTTCCCCCTGGATATTTAATTCTTCTTTTAACTGTCCGAATATATTGATTTTTTTTTTTAATTGTAACCTTACTCAAATCCTCGTAGAAGCAGTGTTTAAGTGGAAAACAGTGCATGAATTACCGGATGTGTCACTGATCCATGAAAATATAGTTACGGTCAGTTGGTTGTTAGGTCTTTCTGAGTATAGTGCCTTTCAAAGCACTATAAAAAAGAATTCCTCAAGCCTGTTACACAAGATGTTGGCGGTCTCCATTTTATTAAATTGCTTAGTGATTCAGAAGACATGGTGTTTTAGTTAGGATGTTTTTGATTACAGGTTACTGAAAATCCCATTTAATGCACAGACTTGGAAGTCCTGGGTGGCTCAGTTGGTCCGGCTTTGGCTCAGGTCATGATCTTACAGTTCGTGAGTTCAAGCCCCACATCACACTCTGTGCTGACAACTCAAAGTCTGCAGCCTGCTTTGGATTCTGTGTCTTCCTCTCTCTCTCTCTCTCTCTCTCTCTCTCTCTCCCCCTCCCCCCACTTGTGCTGTCTGTCTGTCTGACTCTCTCTCTCTCTCTCTGTCAAAATAAATAAATAAATAAACATTTTAAAAATTATTTAAAAAAACAGTGCACCGAGTTGAATCAGAGGAGATTCATTGGGATTTGTCACCCAAGTGCCCGATGAGCTCCAAGAGTGGTTTGATCAGGGTTCTGCATCTGGCTTTATTTCTCTTGGTTTCTCCTAGCTGAGCTCTCCTCTGTGTTGGCTTTTCTTGAGACTGACTTCCTCCTGGCAAGGTGGGCACTACCAGCTCCCTCCAATGAAGGCCCTTCACTTAATGAAGTGCTTCACTCAGTGGGAACCATACTCTGTGGGAGCCCATCCCTGAACCAGACGCCACAGCCAGAGGAACGGGAGTGCTTTGTCTGAGCTGGACTCATCAGGTGCTGGCTGCCTCTGTGACTCCGCACAGTCCCCAGGTGCCGCACTGCCCCTAGGTGCCACGCGGTCCCCAGGTGCCACGTAGACCCCAGGTGCCGCACAGTCCCCAGGTGGCTGAGGGGGCTGCGGTGCGTTGAAATGCCATCTCCATCTAATAGGGCAAATGAAAAGAGAACACGGAAGGACTTTGACCCACCACGAGGAGACCTACTATAAAACTGTGTGTATTTGCATTTATTTGCCATGGACAGTGCCAGATTGTGTCTTGAGAGGCCTTGTAAGTCCTATCAAAACATTCACTTTTTTGTTGGTCTCCAGAAAGAATTTGCCTTGTGATGCCTCTCGAATGGGGCAGGTGGAAAGCTTCCTGCAGCTATATTCCTTATCAGTCACATTTTTCCACCAAACATGTGCAATTTTTTAGAGACCATCAACCAATGGGCAACTGATCTGAGATTTGAGTTTTAGTACATCAGAGAAGGAGGAGTGGACTCCCATGCCCAGGAGGCACACTTGTGCTTGGCTCAGTGTTTCCACTAAATGCTTTACACCAGAAAAATCCTTAAAGGAGATGAATATACTTCTGCAAAAAGCACTCAGAAAGAGTGCTCTAGACACTTTTTTGTCCTATTACTTACCCCAGGAATGTTCCAATTCTTTTAAGAAAATAACCCCTTGCAGCCACTCTGGAAAACAGTATTGAGCTTCCTCAAAAAGTTAAAAATAGAACTACCCTATGACCCAGCAATTGCACTACTAGGCATTTATCCAAGGGATACAAGGGTGCTATTTCGAAGGGACACATGCACCCCCATGTTTATAGCAGCACTATCAACAATAGCCAAAGTATGGAAAGAGCCCAAATGTCCATCGATGGATGAATGGATAAAGAAGATGTGGTATATATATATACAATGGAATATTACTCGGCAACAAAAAGGAATGAAATCTTGCCATTTGCAACACCATAGATGGAACTAGAGAGTATTATGCTAAGCGAAATTAGTCAGAGAAAGACAGATATCATATAACTTCACTCATATTTGGAATTTAAGATACAAAACAGATGCATAAGGGAAGGGAAGCAAAAATAATATAAAAACAGGGAGGGGGACAAAACATAAGAGATTCTTAAATACAGAGAGCAAACTGAGGGTTGCTGGAGGGGTTGTGGTTGGGGGGATGGGCTAATCGCATAAGGGGCATTAAGGAAGACACTTGTTGGGATGAGCACTGGGTGTTATATATAGGGGATGAACCACTGGGATCTACTCCTGAAATCATTATTGCACTATATGCTAAATAACTTGGATGTAAATTTAAAAAGAAAAAAAAAAGAATCTTTTTCTTAAATAAACTTAAAAACAAAGTCGGGGGTGGGGCCTGGATGGCTCAGTCAGTTAAGTCTCTGACTCTGGGTTTCAGCTCAGGTCCTGATCTCATGGTTTCATGAGTTCAAGCCCTGCGTCAGGGATACTCTCTCTCTCCCTGTCTCTCTGCCCTTCCCCAACTCATGCTGTCTCTGCCTTAAAAGAAATAAATGAACTTAAAAAAAAAAAGAAAAGAACCCTTTTCCCCCCCAGTTCCTATATTTTCCTATATCTAGTTATAATTTATGTCTGCAGGAATCATTTATGTTTTTTAAGTTAATTTATTTATTTTGAGAGAGCATGACCTGGGAGGGGTAGAGAGAGAGGGAGAGAGAGAATCCCAAGCAGGCTCTGCGTCATCAGCGCATAGCCCGACGTGGGGCTCAATCCCGCGAACTGTGAGATCATGACCTGAGCCTAAATCAAGAGCCAGATGCTCAACCGATTGAACCACCCAGGCGCCCTGCAGGAAGAATTTAATAGAGGGCTCTCAGAATTGATGGAAAAGAAGAAGCCCTGTAAGTGTACCTGCACGTGTGAGTGCACACACATATACCCGCACACACATCGACTGCTTTCTTTACCTCTGGCACATTTTTCACTGATGGACTAGTCCTAGGAAATGGCCTCTGTCAGATGCCTTTTCTTAGAGGAGCACTGTGGTTTGGCACAGGTTCCTTTGCAGAGCTGTGGCTTGGCTGTATTCCACAGCCTAGGCAGCGTCGGGCTTGTGAGTGAATGGCCCAGGGTGGAAGAATGGTATATTTGCTGGATGGGGCTGTAACATGCCTCAGGAGACAATCTTTGCCATTTCTTCTTCTTTTTTTAAGTGTGTATTTATTTTTGAGAGAGACAGAGACAGAGACAGTGCATGAGCGGGGAAGGGGCAGAGAGAGAGAGAGTGAGACACAGAAGCCAAAGCAGGCTCCGAGCTGAAAGCACAGAGAACCAACGTGGTGCTTGAACTCACAAACTGCGAGATCATGACCTGAACTGAAGTTAGACACCTAACCCACTGAACCCCCCAGGCACCCCAAGTAATCTTGGCCATTTCTGACCCCTGACTCGGATGTCCTGAGAGCTTGTCCTCTGCTGAGTGAGGACAGGGTGCCTGCATCTCACCAGGGTTTGGAGTGAAGTACAAACCTTGGTGGCTCTGTCCTCAGTGAGGAAAACCAGGCCAAGGTTCCCTGAGGTTTTCTTCATAACAGGAAAGAGGCTGTGTATTCCAGGTGTTGTTGCTGTCGTTTCGGTAATTAGGGTCAACTGCTGAACACCTTTCCCTACTTGCCTTCACTTCTACCTAAAAAGGCAGGAATGAAGAAATCAAAAAGACCGTATGTTGAATCCACTGTGTCTTTGGTGATGGTACAAGACAGCCTAGTGAACCAGGACTGATCCTTGCTCTGGGAAACGTTGCTATCCGCCCACACCAATGAATGTGAATCCCCACCCGACCGGACCCAATGGTGGAGGTGTGTGCGGGTGGCCATAGGGGTGCCAAGGAGGACAGAGGGAAGATAGGTCGGGGCCGGAGAACCAGACCAGCCCTCTAGCTCACCCTCAAGGGAGTGGTTAGCCATTCAAACTACAAGGTTCCAAAGATTGTGGGTAGCTCTGGATGGATCTGGCAGCGACATGAACTGAGTCTACGTGGAAGTTCCTGTTCTTGGGGCTCAGCCTGCTGATCAGGGCCTGGAGGCAGAGGCCCCGTCATGTGAATGTTGTAAAGACTGGGATTTCTGGAGAGACCCTCAGGTAGGGTCTGGGAGAACAAGTTCAAACTTACCACAAGCTTCTTTAGCAAAAAGTCTGGAAGATAACTCAAGGGCTCTGGAAGACATCCCCAGCTCCACCTGGCAGGGATTAAACTGGGAATGTGGGAATACTGGTCCCTGAACCCTGGCTGGGCCCAGCAGCCTCCAGAATTGCTTTCGCTTAATTGCAGTCTCAAGGTCAGGCCATCACCCTGATGTGGATGAGGACATTCCCTATGTGACACAGTCTTTGCTTTATGGGCACCCTCAGGAGAAATGTGACCTACTTGAAGAACTGGCACTTCTCAGCATGAGACTTATTTTTATCTTAAGGACACTGTGAACCAAGGAAGCTTCTCTCAGTGCCGGAAGTTTCTTAAAGTCAGGTGAGAGTATTAAACCTGTTTATAGGGCTTTAAAGTAAGCATTTTCATATTTACTAATTCCTGGCTCCATTCTATATTTTTATCCTTGCTTCATTCCTTCCTTTTGACCTGCTTTTTGCTTAAGTTGCCCTCTTGCATTTTATGCATCCTTTTATTCCCCTTCCAGGGGTGTGCTAGAGCCTTTGAGGTTGTTAAACACTCTATTCAGGAATTTTATGAGCCCCTGGTTAAACAGTTCAGGGCTTGAAATCAACCATGGTGGGAGTATTTACACCACAGACATAGGCAAACACTACAAAATCGTTTCTTTTTTTTCTTACAGAAAACTAGTTTACCAGCATATCACTGTCTCTCTCTTATCTAGAAAAGGAAGAGTCTTAATAAATATGTTTTTAAAAGTACTAGTTCTAAAAGTATTATGAAATAGCTATGTTATTTAAATATTGTGTGTGTGTGTGTGTGTGTGTGTGTGTGTGTGTGTTTTAAGTAAACTCTACCCCTAATGTGGGGCTGGAGCTCACAACCCCAAATCAAGAGTCATATGCCCTATGGTCTAAGCCAGTGAGGCACCCATTATATGTGTTTTTATTTTTTATTTTTATTTTTCGAAGTTTTTATTTTATTTATTCTGAAGAAAGAAGAAAGGAGTGCGTGTGCGTGCGTGCACACACACACACACACACACACACACACACACATGCAGGGGGGCAGAGAGAGAGAGAGAGAGAGAGAGAGAGAGAGGAGAGAGAGAGAATTCCAAGCAGGCTCCAAACTGTCATGCTATCAGTGCAAAGCCCAATAAGAGCCCAACGCAGGGCTCAGACTCACCAATGCGAGATCATGACCTGAGCTGAAATCAACAGTCAGCTGCTTAACTAACTGGACCACCCAGGTGCCCGCCCCCTTCCCCCCTTAAATCTTAGGAACAGTGGCCCTGTTTTCGGGTCCAAAAATGTTTCAAGTATAAATAAATTTATGAGATTGCTTTTTATTGATGGCAAGGGAGAAATGGGATTCATCCAAAATGTGCCTTCTAGTCAACTTGGCTATCATGCAGCTGTTCTAAAAAGGAGGATCTTTATGTATGTGGATGTGCTGAAAGCTGTTTACGTTTCTGTTTATCACATTTTAAGTTATACCCTGGTGGAGCTAAGATTTTGGTAAATCTAGCAGTATTAGAAGCAAGTTGATATCCCATTCAATGTGTGATGGTTGCTAAGGGACCATTCAATGCAAATTAGAAGTAATAATAGCTCTGGTTTAAAAGGGCAGAGAATTAGGACAGGGAGGGGAAAAAGACTCCCTACACAAGACGAGAGTTTTGCGGTGACAAATGTGGATGCCTGACACACAACACTTTCTGCTCTGTCCTGTGATAGAGAGGCAAGGAGGAATGGGGACAGCACAGGGACAAGGATAGCTACAGTGACTCCTGGCAGGGGCTTCCCTTGGAATAAGCGCAAATAGCTACAGAAAGCATGTTTGTTATCCAGAGTTGGCAGCTCAGCAATTGCAAACTTCGGCAACAGCACGAAAGAGAAGAGGAAAAAAAAAATCTCTGGCAGTAAAATTGTAACTCCTGGGCCACAAACAACCACACCGAAGGCTGCTGGAAAGTGCCCCAAACCTGAAGATCCCCCAAAGGCATTGCAATGAGCAGGTTCATTGACCGTGGAAGAGCTAGCAAAGACTGCGCTTTTACTGCCAGGCGCAGGCCTGCACTAAAAAACTCTTCCCTCCTATTAACCCATTCAGCGCCCACAATGGACAAAGAAACTGATGCACAGATGGGTGAAGTCCCTGCCTGAGATGCTCCGTGAATAAGAAGAGGAGCCAGGATTTGAGTCCGTGCTCTCAACTGCCCAGATCGAACAAAGAAGGATGTGGACGGTGGTGGTCTGAGATGGCAGTGTGCAGGGCATGGTGAAGAGTGAGGACGTGAGGAGCCTGAGAACGGTAAACGAGAGAGGCCAATGGCAGATCGAGGGGTGGGGCTGAGACGGCACAGTTCAGGAGGTCTACAGCCAGAACCAGAGGGAGACAAAACCTACCTCCCAAACCTAGACGATCTGCTATCCCCTGGCCAAATAGCATCATATCCTGAGGCCATCTCTGAGCCCTCGTGCTGTTCAAGGCCGCCAGAGGTGTGGTCTTTGAGGTTTTGGGGCAGTTAGTGAAAGGGCCAGCCAAGGCTTGCTGTCTTCCCTTTAGTAGTTCGGTGTTGAGAGAGAGAGCCCAGGCAGTTTCTAGAGGGGACCATGCTGAGCTAGCTGCATGTCGGGAGTAGTGACCTATAATCCACGAGGTGGACTGTCATCACACAGGGGACCCTGCTGGGCAGGGCATTGGGACAGAGATTCAAAGCTCCTGAGATAGTCAGGAGCAAACCCAAAACTGAGCTGAACCTTAAGGGAGAACATGGGAATCTCCATGTAATTGGAACGGAGTGAGCACCACAAAGTGGTCGGATGAGCACAGCCTTGCTTCCTCCTCGTGAACGCCATCTATTTATCCCTGAAGACCACTACCCTTATCAAAGAGCACCGGACACCATGCTCTTTCTGATGCCGGCAGGCCAGGTCCAAGGACCCAGAGGGGGTCACAGGACCAGCCAGGAGGGTCCTTAGCTTCACAAAGAATGGAAATCAAACATGAGCCAGCAGGAAGTGAGAGCAGAGTTTATGGAAGATATGGAGCAGATACAGATGGGGCTTCAGGGAGACTCAGGAAAGGAGCGTGAGTCTTGTCTTTGTTCAGGGTCTTGGGTTTTTACTGAGGATGGTGCCTGGTGTACATGTCCTCTCAGGCACGTTCTAACCTCTAACCGGTTAGAACAAAGACAGGGGCCCATGTGTCATTCCCTGGAGTCAGGGTGCCTTGGCGTGGAGACGTCTAGCTCCGGTGGTCTGGAATATGCCTATGATAACTTTGGTCATTCTCACCTGGTCCTTCCTTTGATGTTATCTATCCTAGAGAAATCATTAACTCCTCATCCCACTTACAGGGAGGACATACACTATTTACGTTGCAAGGCATGTGTAAAGTTGGGGGGGGTGGTGCAGGTCGTAGCAAGAAAAGGAGCAAAAGGCAGATATTTATGGAGTCCTTCAGTTTCTCTGCGTCATTACTAGCTGAGAAAAATCTTTGTGGATTAATGGTCAAGTAATTATAGATTAAACCACCACACAAACACGCCAGGGGCTAGACCTTGTTTTGTTTGAGGAGCTCTTGTGGCTCGTTTTAGACAGAGCCCTGACTTCTGCCAAGTGACTCTGGTGTTTTCAGCAACACTGAAGATAGGCTCTGGCTCTGGAGGAAGTGAGCTGGAGGTCAGTGGCCTCCCCTCCGAGCCACCTCCTCCTACAGGACCCAGGTCTTCACAGAAAAGTTTGCTCTCTCTCTGTTTATTTTATTTTTGTAACTTACTTATTTTTAAAGATTTTTTTTTTGAAAGAGAACTTTTTATTATTTTTATGTACAGAAAATTCAACAGCATCCACTTAGCCCAGTGTGGTGGCCAGTTCTTTTTGCCTTTTCCCACTTGGCAATGCGAGCCACTGACTTAGGACCCAGGACGTTGTCTCTCTGGTGGCTGGTGGTGGTAGATCTCATCATATTTGTCACTGTAATTGGTTCTGATGGCTTCCACCAGTTTAGCCAGAATTCCTTTGTCTTCCAAGTTAATCTGTGTGACAACGGTGCAGGGCTTCCTGTGGACCAGATGCCCCAGCCTGGCCTTCCCCTTGATGATGCCACAGGGAACCGCCACCGTTTTTTTTTTTAAATGTTTCTTTATTTTTGAGAAAGAGAACACCAGCGGGGGAGGAGCAGAGAGAGAGGGGGACAGAGGATCCAAAACGGGCTCCGCACTGACAGTGGTGAGCCCGACACAGGGCTCAAACTCACAGTTTGTGAGACCATGACCTGAGTTGAAGTCAGATGCTCAACTGACTGAGCCACCCAGCTGCCCCAAGGGAACCTCCATCTTACAACACAGGGCAGGCAGGAAGACAACCAGTTCAATGGGATCCACATCATATACAATCATTACCAGCTGAGCCTTCGTATTTTCCACCAAGGTGGTGACAATATTAACTCCAGCTTGAAGGACAGGCAGCCTTTTAGTGGGGACATCCCCTTTGCTGGCAGCTTTCATCTCAGCCCGGGCCAACAATCTCTGCTTCTCTCGCTTTCTCTCTGGTCTGTATCTGTGGGCCAGCTTAAGCAGTTGAGTAGCTGTTTGGTGGTCCAAAGCCTGGGTGAACTGGTTAATTATGGAAGGCACTTTTCGACATTTATAGAGAATAGTCCTTTGCCACTGCAGCCCGTGGCATTTGACAGAGCTGGTGAGGTCCTTTTGGGCTGGATGTCCTGTCTGATGCCAAAATTCTTGGGCCTTCTCTCAAACAGGGGAGTGACCAGCTTCTTGGCCTCTTGCTTCTTCACAACAGTAGAGGCCAGGGCCACCTTCTTCCCCTTGGTCTTCTTTCCTTTCAGCATCTTGGATGACTAGAGGAGAGAGAAAAGAAAAGAGAATTGTAGGTAATATCAAGATTATTTATTTATTTATTTACTTATTTATTGTTAATTTTTTTTAACATTTATTTTTGAGAGAGACAGAGAGAACATGAGCAGGGGAGAGGCAGAGAGAGAGGGAGACACAGAAACCAAAGCAGGCTCCAGGCTCTGAGCTGTCAGCATGGAGTCTGACACAGGGCTTGAACCCACAAACAGTGAGATCATGGCCTGAGCTGAAGTCTGGCACTTAAATGACTGATCTACCAGGTGCCCCTGTTTTTTTATTAAAAAAATTTTTTTAGGCTTATTTATTTATTTTGAGAGAGAGAAAGAGAGCATGCAAGCAGGGAAGGGGCAAAGAGAGAGGGAGAGAGAGAATCCCAAGCAGGATCCACGCTATCCACACAGAACCCAATGCAGGGCTCCATCCCACAAACCATGAGATGTATGTACCTGAGCCAAAATCAGGAGTTGATCACTTAACTGACTGAGCCACGCAGGTGCCCTAAGATTTTATTTTTAAGTAATCTCTACACCCAGCATGGGTCTCAAACTTACAACCCCGAGTTCAAGAGTCGCATGTGCCACTGACTGAGCCAGCCAGATGCCCCCTCTCTCTTTTTAAAAAAGTTTTAGGAGATAGAATTTATATACCATAAAATTCACCTGTTTAAAGTGTCCAATTCAATGGTTTTCAGTATGTTTAAACAGTTGTACATACATGACACAATCCAATTATGGGACATTTCCATCACCCCAAAAAAGAAATCTCTTCCCCATTTGTATTCACACCCCATTCTTCCCCCCAGGATGAGGCAACCACTAACCTACTTTCTGTCTGAACAGTTTTATATGCTGATAGTATGATATGTTGTGCAAGCACAGCATCTGCCCCACACCTGGGGTGAGGCAAAACAGACAAGTTGACCATTTTTGTGTGAGCCAATATTCAGTACCACAAACTAAAAAATTTGGTAACTTGACCAAGTTAATGTGTTACAAAAATGCAATTACCTATTGCTTACCACCTTAGAATATAGTCTGTGATAGACCAGTTCAGAATGATTGGCTGACTTGAAGGTCCGAGCTTTTAGATTGCCAGCTGACTGTAGAGCTGCTCTTGAGAAAGTAGGGCAAGTGTCTAGGTTTTTTGGGTTGTTTTCCATTTTCTTTTCCTCTGGAATTCCATGTCACTGATGTAACATGTACCCTTGGGTTCTCCTCAGAATATGAGCTGCTCTTACAAAGCAGCCTTCATGAGGAAATTGGTCCCATGCTAGACTCAGAACGTCACACATGTATTTGAATCTTGCCTGTTGTATTCGATGGCTGAGTGTGGATGGCTCCCTCGCCTTTCTCTGGTAGACCCTTTGCTCCTGTGGATTTTCCTCCACTGGACCATCTGGATTCACCCTTGTTATAACTTCTCGCATTTACAAAAACCCTCTCTTTGACCTGGTTTCCCCTTTGGATACTGCCCATCATCCCTGATTCTCTTTTCAGAAACTTCTCTGATGGAATTGTCTAAGGTAGCTGTCCCTACCTTGTCTTTGGTTCTCCCTAGAATTCACTCTGGGCAGGGCTTTGTACCTGCCACTCCACCAAAACCACCCACAGTGTTGCTGCCAGTGACCTCCATGTGGCCAACCCAACAGTTGACCCTCAGCCTCTCGTAGCTTATCGGTTGCATTTACACATTGACTATTCTTACCTTCCTGAGACACTTTCTTCTCCCGGCCTCTAGAGCAGCAATGTCTTTTTTTTTTTTTTTTTTTGGCAATGGGGGGGGGGGGGAGAGGCAGAGGGAGAGAGCGGAAGAGAGAGACCGAGAGAGAGAGAGAAAGAGAAAGAGAGAGAATCTCAAGCAGGCTCCATGCTCAGCACAGAGTCTGTCACAGGGCTTGATCCCATGACCCTGGGATTACAACCTGAGCCAAAATCAAGAGTTGGATCCTCGGCCGACCGAGCCACCCTGGCACCCCTAGAGCAGCACTGCCTCTTGCTCTTCTGTCTCACTGCTCCTCTATCCAGTCTGCCATGCTGGCCACTGCTCATCATTCTCGAACGTGTCTAAATGTTGGGAGCCCCACTTCTTGCTTCTCCACCTCATCTCTCCTCTGCCTGCGACATCCTCCATGTGATTTCATACTGACTACTGGGTACATTAAACACTATCTCTGCTGACCTCCAGATTTGCATCTCCAACCCATCCCATCCTAAAACTATGGGAATTCAAGAGAATTGCTCATGGAGACGCTGGAAATGAGGGTCAGAGTTAAAAAGGGAGGTGTGGCAACAGAAGCAGAGGTCAAAGTTATGCAGCCATGAGCCAAGGAATAAAGGTCACTTCTAGACCCTGAAAGAGTAAGGAAACAAATTTGCCCCTATAACCTCCAGAGGGAACACATTTCTGCCAACACCTTGTTTTTAGCCCTATAAGACTTGTATCAAAATTCTGACTTCCAGAACTGAAAGATAGTAAATCTGTGTTGTTTTGTGTCATTGAGTTTATGATATTTTGTTAACATCAGCAACAGGAAGTTAATCCAGGGGGTAAAGCTGACATTAAGGTGCCCATCTCCTGACTCCTGTGCTGATGGCCTTCCTTCCATAGCTCTGACCTGCTGATGAAGCACAGTGATTCCTTGAGCAGGTTGAAAAGCCCCAGGCCCTGGCATGAGCCCTGTGCTGTCACAGAGGTGTGGTAGGTGATGGAAGGTGGGGAGCCTCATTCCAAAAGGTAGGGCTAGCTCAGGTATGATTCAGACAAGGACAGTTGCCAGAGTTTTGAGACCTAGAATCCAGGGTGGTCAGTGCTTAAGAGTTAGGGAGGCCACTTAGTGCTCTCTGCCTAAGTGCTAATGGGACCTTGGACTTGGGATCAGGAGGCCTACTGGAGTGGAGCAGTGGGACCTCAGCCACTGAACAGCACTCCTGGCTTGGAACCAGAGCAGAGACAAGTGGTGTGCATGGGTGGGGAGGGCCGGACCTTCAGGCATGCATGAAAACGCCATGGTGGTCACTGGTGTTAAAGGCATAGCGAATGAGACTGGGGGATAAAGTGCTGAGCCTAGGCCACTCAGCTCGGGGCTGGTGGGGAGGCTGGGTGACCAAGTCACTTACCCCTCCAAATGTAACCACTTTAAGGACTGAGGTGGGATTGGTAAGTTTGGAGGGAGAGGACATCAATGAAGGCAGCTTCCAGAAGCTGAAGAAGGTGGGAGCAGTTGAGATGATATGAAGGCTAAGATTTCCCACCATTCTAGTAGACAATTTAATAGAGTCACAACAATTTGGAGGTGATGCAAAGTCCTACTAGCACCGGACTATAGCTATAATATAAGGTTACATTTCCTTTTAAATGCCCAAATTCTAATAGCTCAGTGGCACTTAATCTTGGTTGGATACTGGAATGAACTGGGGAGCTCTGAAAAATTCTAGGGCCTGGTGCACCCCCAACAGGGGTCCTATCCCTGGCTTGACATGTGGGGAGGCAGTCTGGGCACTAGGATTTGAGGAAGCCCTTGAGGGCCACTGCGAGTGTAAATTCCTCCAGCTTACTGTATGTAAATTGGATCTCTCCAAGTATCCCACAGCTGTGCCCAAGGATTCCCCAGATATATGCTCACTGGGGCTTAGGGCAGGGCCCCTCCATGGTCTCCGGCACAGCCTCTTGGCTGTGCTGTGCCACTGCCTCCTCTTCTGGAAACCTCTGGCCTCAAGAGAGGCTGCTCTCCCTACAGTTACAGGCTCCAAGTAGAAGACAGGCCCTCTTGTGAGTCCCCACAGGGCAGCTGAGGTTGGGCAGTGCACCCCAGGCCTTCCTGAGGCTCCAGGTAGTAAAGGGGAAGCACACCAGAGAGCAGCTGACAAGCCCTAAAGATAAGGTGGCTCATGGGGCCTGCAGAGCCAGGCCTGTCCTCAGGGACACTCACAGGACCACTCACTGCCAGGCATGCTCTGGACATCACCACCACTCAGAGAGCAGATCCCGCTGCCCCAGGTGGCTGCCCCCTTCTCTCACCCAGTATTAAGGTCTGGTCTGAGCCCCACTTCCAGCCCCAGGACGACTGACAGTGAGAAGGTCCATTCTCGAAAGGGGAAACCTGCCCTCCCCCTTATGGCTTCCAAAGACATTAGAATATAAATGTACAATGTTCACCCTTTCAGGGGAACTGTCTGAGCAGCCCGTGGCCTGTAGAACAGCCTCCTCCGGTGGCCGGTGGAGGGTAGAATCTGAACCCTCACTGTGGGCCCCAGAAAACAACCACCCAAGTAAGCCAGACAATAATAGGTGGGAGTTCACAGCCAGGGTCCATTCAGACAATGGCCATGTGTCTCCCAAAGAAACAGTGTTAGAGGGTGGTCAGATTACAGAGTTATAAATACAAGTTAGTTACAAAAATGAATATTTACATAAAATGAGAAAAAAAAAAAACCACAACCAACTTCAAATTTTAAAATGTTAAAAATGCCTTAAGTAGCACAAAATCCAGGAAAATAACCTGACATTTTAATGAACAGCCTGACACGCCTTTATGTTTGTCCCTATTCTTTTGACTGCAAACTCCTTGATCACTTACCACATTCTCCAGAAAGAAGAGAAAGAGAATAGTTTCTATCTGGCATAATTTCAGATTAGCATAATTTCCTTTAGCATGACTGGTGAAAATTTACTTCAGCTGGAACCCCAGATTTCATCAGGACAAGATGTGTCAGATCTTTTAAAATGGAATCTGACATGTTGGGATACATAAAACATGCAACTCCATAGTGATGTAGTCAGTGTTGGTAGTATTTTTCAGGTTTATATCCCACAAACGGAGATTCTGGAAACGTCTACCGAGAAAAGAGCATGGTATATTTATAATCATATAAGCTTCATTATCTAGGCTGTTCCTACAAGAGAGAATGTCCATTCTGACGAGGGTTGAGGAGGACTGAATCCTCTGTTTACACTTTTCTGTACCTGGTGATTCAAGGAACTTCCTGTAGACCAGCTACTACTGGCTCTGTGCATTTTAA